GTACATACAACGTACGTACGACGTTTTGAACCGCTGCCGATCTATTTTCAAGTAATGCCAAGCGGCCAGGTATTTTTGTTGACAGTACGTCTGAAGAGTGCGCGAGGCGGTGCGGAATCGCGACGCTTTTCGTAGAGAAATTCGCCGACTAAACGGAAAAAATGAGAAACAATGCGTATATGTGTACATTATTAGTAGTTACTAGTCAAAATTTCTCTTGAGTTCTTTGAGACAACGAAAATGAAATTTCGAAACGACAGCCTCGTATTATGTGAAAAGGGTTACATAATGCAGTGTAAATTTTCAAGTGCAGAAAAATCAAGATATGTATATATTATATTCTGGAAATAGTATTCTGGAGTAGTCTACGCTAATAACGAATTGCTTACGCATTTTTTCTTATATTGATCGAAGTAGACGTGTGAAATATTAATTATTGCGTATTGATGGAAATAAGATGATAATTATCATTGCACCGATTTATGGATCAAGCTCAGCTTTGTATTTACTGCGTGGTTAATTTTACACAGGCTTAAACTATCCACGTTGAGCTTACACTTGAGTAAACTCCCTGCGTTAGTTAGTTTGAATTATAAATCGAGTTAATTATAACTTTCGAGTTAATTACCACTGTGCACTGTAGCGCCGCCTTCATGCCGCTCTCATTATGACATAATTGTAACTAATTTGGCGGCAAAGACTTCATTATATACATTTATATGCTATATGTAAAACATCGACAATTATTGTTAGTACTAGCTGATTATTTTATTATATCTGGTCTTTTTATTTTAGTTAATTATCTGAACTTTTATTTCTATTCTATTTAATTGCGATTATAAATGTCAACGACACAATTTGTTTACGCGCTTTGATTGTAGATAAGATTGTCCAACAAAAGAAGAGAAAGAATCAAATTTAAATATATGTAATTTATAACTATAGAGGTGTAAGAATAATTATAGGTAAAAAAATATTACGTATATTTTTATATTCTCTTTTTTCCGAAGGGATATTTCCTTGCTTTATGATTTGTATTTGTTTTTGATCATAAGCAAGAGAAGAAATTAGGAGAGTTAGTAATTGAAATTAGTAGTACTAATGTGTGTGAAACTGGAATTAATAAATTAATTACCGCATCACGATTCAATTAGACACAGACATTTAAATAAACTGTTTCAAAGGATACATCGTTCTGCACGTAACGCATTTCACTGGGATTCGATGATCAGTTTGATCGATGTCAATCACAATGATTTATCAAACAATAGCTAACTACACTCGCATTAATTATGAGATGCTATGAATTTCGCTGTTATGAGAAGCGTATCGAGAGAAGGCTCAGGAGGATCCTCAGTTAAGATTACGGGATTAATTTTAAATTGATTAGAAAGGGAACTCACACGTACGTAAGAGGAAAAAGAAAGCAAAAAAAAAGAGACGAAGTTATCCAGAATGTTAGTTGACGAGACGAAAGGAGAGACGGTAAATCCGCCGTACAATTTCGCAGAAGCGGCAACAGAAAGGGTGCAAAAGCTCGGGCTCGAAACTGGACACAGAGCCTCTCATGAAATTGGCCCTCTCCCAACCGTGATGATACTTTAATTATCATTTCTCTGTTAATATCTCGCGGCTAATTGTGGATATTACATTGAGATAATTTTACGCATCGTGGTCGATTTATGAACGCCCTGGAAACTGAAACCGATCGTTTCTGTTCAGAAATGCAAAGAAATGAAATGCTCTCTTTCATAAATTTTCCTCTTTATTAACGCGGTTAAAGATTTACGATATTGTGCACGTTCAAGAGATCACGTCATTCAAATTAAGCCGCGTCGATTTAAAAAATCTCGGTACAGCCGCGTTAATTCCTTAACACGTGATTTTTGTTAGAATCCAAACGATCATGTAAATTGTCATTTTTTTTTTTAATTTGGTATGCAATTAGTTTGATGTAAATATACTTACAAAATATGTTTCTTACAAGTCGCGCTTGTGATTATATAAATATAAAAAATGTACATGTTGAAATAAATTAAAAATTCTGTTATATCTTGCATAGAGTATTTCAAGTATAAATATGTTACAAATAATCAATTGCCTACTCAATAAATAAGTAAGTACAAATATAAAATTTATTAATTAATAATTGCAACAATTAGATGGTTTTAAATCAAATTACATTAACACAGTCCCTTAATATCATTTTGAATTAAACATTTGTGTAAATAACAAGAACAATCAGTCTATCAGCAAAACAAAGATAATTTTTATTTTGCTTATTTTGAACTTACGCGTATACGACTTCATCGATTATTACTCAGAAACATGTCAGCTGCGACAAAGTAGGATTATCTTTCCACATGTTCGCTTGGACAAAGTGCCGTATATGAGTTTGATAATGCATGAAATATATCACGAGAGTACGAATTTTATCTAGAAAAAGAAACATTCGTCCCCGATGCGCGATAATATACAATTGCGTTTGTCTTGATAAAAACATGATAAAAAAGTTCGTCAATATTATATAAACGAGAACATTACACGAACAAATTATATGTACGTGTAATAAGATAAAAATTACAATGATAATTATAGTATCGTAAAATCACAAAAATCAATTAAGCGCGGATGGGAGAGGCCAGTGCAATCGCTCGACGTTTACAAAGTAATGTACAATAGATACGTTATACGTATATATCTCGTCTCGAAAATTGGTTTTACCTTCGGGTTCTTTGGCAATGACCGTGCTGCTCCGGTCGACGCCGCCCTTCTTATCCTCTGTACAACATACACACATATACATCACGTATACGATATACGAAAAATGTACGAACAATTTATATCATTACATAACGCTTAAGATATTTATATGGAATATCGATAAAGCCACGTCGCATGATGAAAAGCTTATTTCCCTCGATTTGTCTAATACTGACACATAAATCATAAATATCACTTTCTTATCAAAAGAATACATTGTAGAAGAGTGAAGCTTAAAAACAAACAAATGTTACAAAAAATGTATTATTAACTTTACAAATGTGAATCACTTCTTTTTCTAGTTAGCATATCATACGCAAAAAGTATTTTTTTTTCTGCTCGACGATGCTAAGAAAGAAAACATTTGTTTGATAATTGATATTAATGAATTATAATAGAAATATATTCGATGAATACAGTTAGGGGAAAATAAAGCAATCAATTATCATTATACAAGTAAATATAAGATATGCAAACAGTAATAGATGATAATAGATTTATAAATTTAGAAGTGATACACAAAAATCAGCTTTATTTTTCTGCCACGTATTCGTTTTATGGCAAAATGGAGGGTCTTCTTTGATAATTGCACCAATTAAACTTAGATTCTTCATGTAATGGCCGAATTCCACGTTATTAACATTCATTGTGTATTCGACATTATTAATTATAATGTCGAATGATTACTAATGATTACTAAGCAACACAGACAGATATATAAAACGACGTAGTTAATAAACGTAAAATAATTTAATAGTTATTTAATAGCAAAATAATTATATATTATATATAATTATACAAAACAGACACTCAGTGTAGAGTAATAATAAATCTTTCATCGTCGATTATAAAAAAATAAAATACAAAATTTCTTCAATAAAGGAGCAACGCTCTCAGTAAAGAATCATCAAGAGACGACTCCAAAAGGATTTCTACTCGAGTTTACCAAACTCTCAGTAATATACTTTTATGTCTTTGTAAATTTCCATGTAGATATTTTCAGCTGACCACTTTAAATCTCAAAGCTTCCGTACAAAAGTAAAGAATATATTGTTACACCCCCGTGACATTTTTATGTTAACAATTTCTCATAAGTGATAGCAAGATCTACGATAATATCATCGTGCTTTTATTACCTACTATTTACAATTATCTATTATTTAATAATTTAAAAATTATCTCGTATAAAGGAAGAGGTCATTACTTTGCGCCGACTATTAACCGTGCAAATTAATGGCACAATCGATTTCTTTCGTACAACACCACGACTACTAATGAAAACGCTCGTTATTATAAATTAAGTGATGATGCTTAATATAATGACGGGGGCGTAACGAAATAGAGTATCGTTTGTAATCGACGAAAATGTAATGATCGTATCATGATTAAAATATTCTCTTTTTCTTTCTGCTTTTCATTTATGGGAACTGTAAAGACGAGTGGTGTCGTTACCATCGAACTATATGTATATAAAAAAGAACGGTCGTCAAATAGAAAAAAAGATCGAATACAATCGATTGATAATCGGGATTGTGCTGGAGAGTACACTTTGCATTAAGAACGTGCACACGTCGATAAAAACACGTATCGATCGTATCTCGAGTAGTAGGGAAGTAAAAAAAGAAATTGTAATGCGTGCAGATCGAGCCGATCGTACGGTTTCAATGCTTCGGTCGCGATATTTGATCAATTATTTAACAAAGAATTACTGGAAATAGTATAATAGAATTACTAGTGTCATTATAAAAATTTACTAATAAGATTTTAGAAGTATAAAATATTCTACGTTTTAAATTATTTCATATCCATAAAATTTTTAATTATTAAAAATTAACATTTTTAAGCTTGGTACTACTGGATGATATGATATATAAATCAATCGTTTTATTTCCTCAATGTAAATCAAATTTTACATTTCTCCGTAATTATTCAAACGTAATAATCTGCTAAATTTTCTTGATATATATTGCACTACGTGTAGTCATATTGTCTTACTAATCAATATAAAAAAAAAAAAACAAATTGATAAAAACGTCGAATTCAATCTGTAATAAAAATTACATAAAAAAAATTTTCTATAACATTAAATTTTTATTCCTCTCTCTTTCCCTCCCTCATGTGATAATCTTCTTGATATTCGATTCGAGACTTTGTAAAAAGCCGTACGATGGCGAGCAAGCGTGCGATAGGCAGAAAACATGCGAGAAATCGGATCAACATATAAAAAAGCAACCAAGTGAAGGAAGTGAATGGAATCAATTCCGAGTTGGTTTGTTGCGTAGATGAATGGTTCAGTCGGCGGACCAAGCGAACAAAGCAAGTGACAAAAGGGTAGGACAGAAAGAATGAGGCAAAAGCGAAAAGACAGGAATAGTGCGACAAGCGCCAGGGAAAAAAAGAAGACAAAAGTATAACTGGTGTTCATAAATCCATAACACTGGGCTAAACATCGAGAGTCGAGATTTGTGACGACGACAGAGAGAGCGTGTTACGTGTTACTTGTTATTTGTTGCGTGTGCGTACGTGCGTGCGTGTATGTATGGGTGGGTGCGTTTATGTGTGTGCGTTGTATTTGCGTGTATGTATGTACATATGTGTAAATATGCGCGCGTTTACATACATATGTGTGATTTTAAATTTGATATAGTAATAATGACCTAAGTATAGGTAAGGGCGTGTGATAATGTGTGGAGTTTGAAGAAGGTGAAAAGATCGTTTAAGAATACGATCGCAGAGAGCACGATCGCATTTCTCAAACGGTATACGTGGAAGAGTCACATAGAGAAAAGTGCATAAAGTGATAATCGGATGGAATTTCGGAAATTCTGTTATTTACCCCGTTATTTGCTATTGGATCGTCCAAAATTAATTTTATACTGATCTGTATGATTTTGCTGTAACTACAAACAATGCAATCCGAGTGGTCAATTTACATAAATAATATCAATCATTCAATAGAATGGAATTCTTTAAATTGTTACAGATAATATTATAATAGGATAATCCGAGCTTTTGAATACAATAAAATCAAGCAATGTTAAATTTTAACGATAAAATCAATAATTTTATCATTGGTAAATCTCTACTTATTTGTTCAATGGTTTATATAATCCCATTCGATATGAAACACTCGATTATACTTTTTCCTCTATAAAGTTCATTAAAATAATGATCCATTAAAATGACGATAATTTTTATACATATCTGTGACAATTGTCACTGCCACGTAAATTTTTGGCTGTGTTTCTCGCTGCAAATTTTTTAAATTAAAAAATATTTAGGCAAATTCAATGACTTGTACATATATATATTTCATCTAATTATACAATTATTTTTTTTCTCCATTTACAATCGCGTGACACCAAACAATAAAATTCATTTTAGCTTTCTCTTTATTAACAATAAATAGTTGAATAAATCGTTACGCCCTTGTTCTATCGCTCTGGTTCACACAATAAAAACCAAGAGACGAAATCAGAGCCAATTAATCAAATAGTTACAATACGTAATCCAATAACGTGGCAGCAAAAAAGGAGAAATATAAAATATATATAACATCAAGGAAGCGCATGTACGTGTATGTGTGCGGGCATAAGGAAACACAAATATGCCAGATGAGATCTAATAAACGTGCGAAAGTGATGATTGTGACATGTTACCTAAAAAGCTCCAAAAGTTTTCACAATCGAATTTTTCCCTCTTACGCTGCTAATGTATTTAATCCACCGGATAAATTTATAATATCGAAATAAACGATAAATAAAACTGGTTGTAGCCGATTCGTTATTTGCAAATTACAATAAAATAATTCTTATAGCCTGAGAAACGAGTCGAAAACGAGCGTTTTTCGTTCGATAATTGAAGCATAATTATAAACCGCGAGAAAATATAACAGCGGGAAAGTTAAGAGTTTTCCTATGCTAATTGCGGCTCTAAATAAGATAAAAGGTGAATATGTTGAAAAAGAAAATGCAAGCGAAAGCAGCGTGAGCCGGAGCGATTCGTGGTCACCGGTTGTTAAAAAATTAACATGAACGAGAAATGAATAAAAATAGAAGAGAATAGAGAGATAAACATCGAGATTATTACGAGAAAAGTATGTGTGATAATACCGAGTGACAATATACACCGTATAATTACGCGTAATAGACTTACGTTATAAGAACCTACAACCCTTTCAGCTCGTCTAAATTGTAAAGAAATCCTCTATATGTTCACATGAAATTAGCGTTCACATTATATTAATAATAATAAGAATAAGAATAAAACTGTTTTTAATAATTAATTGTATGCTTATAATTCGTTTACCGAGGCTTAACACACGCTGAAGTATTACTATTACTACTTGTAATATTAATCTTGAAAGGCTATTACGCGAATTGTCTCTTTGTTTCCCTGTGATTATGCTCATCTGAGTGTTTTACGTAGCAAAATTTGAATAAGACTTGAATAAGATTAATGCAAAGGAAACATCTTGATAAACAGGCTTAGCCGTTCAAGATTAATTTGTCGCAGCTATCACTACTTGGACTAGTCTACGAATCCATTTTCTTCAATATACTACATGTACGATCAGAATACAAGTGAGAAAGAGAAACGCGTTAAAATTTACAATACTACATCTACTGAATTGCATAATCGTCAATTATCTCTTTGTACTAGATTGTATCACGAGAAAGCGTTGACTAATTATAATCGAGCCTATTCATCTTACGTTGTTAAAAATGATCGCCTGTGCGGTAATCGCTAAAAAAAGATGCATTGCGTTAACAAGAGAACTTATGACAATGGTGGTTGCAGATAGTGGTAGATTTTTTACTTCGCGACATACACCTATAAATAAATTAATTCATGTTGCACACGCGTAAATTGCCAGTGATCAATTATTCCCGAAAAGAAGGTGTAGGCGAGGAAAAAATAATCACGACGTATAACAAAAGCGCGTAACGAAGCCGATGCGTGAGTGACACGAGATCAGTGAACTTTAGGCCCGATTTGTGTAAATGCGAAGAATCAGGATCTGCTGTAAACCAGAGCAACTTACGCCTTCGCTGTTCTTTCTTTTTCTTGTAACAACGCATTATATCCAATTGCTCAAATGCTGTGTATATAATTTTCATTACAACTTATATGTAATCTACATACGAATAGTATATGTGTGTAATTTTTTTTCTCTTGGAACATATAATGAAAAAAATGATTAATCGACTAATAATTTAATTTACTTTGTTTTTTTTTTTTTTTACCGTCGCTCTTGTTACACAGATCCTCGAAATATCGACCGTTTTTATTTCAAGTGGAAAAAACGAGCGAGATTACCAGACGATATACGCCATGTTTGAGATGTTAAATAATTAAATGTTGAACCAAAATGGTTCCACGTGTACGAGTTACACGATGTTTATATTAAAGCGTTGATATGTTACTCGTATTTTATTCATCGTCTACTTTTCGGGGGGGGGGAAATATATTTTACGCGTAAAATATTACGCGCGTGAGCGTTCTTCAATCTTTGATTTTCCAGTTAATTCTGGATGGAAGCTAAGCGTCAGTAACGTCCGGTAACCCGTGCTTGTAAATGAGCAAATGCAATCGCAATAATCACATTTTCGCTGATCGAATGATATGATGAACGTGTCTTGAAGAGAATTGCGCTCGGTCTATGGTGTTTGTAATCTAATCATATACGGTGCATTTTTTTTTCATTTGCTGTTATAATACGCGTGCGCACGTCATTCGTCTACGTGTGTTATGGATTTGTGAGCATCGGCTATTGGGGCACAAAACAACAGTGTTATCACTTCTCTCACACAACTGTATACTTGGTGCTTTGCCTTTACGGTGTCTGTTATGGGAGACAGACAACGAGTACAGAGCCACCTGATTTGTGCGGACATGTATACGTGTGTTCGAATGAAAGCATGGAAAACAGATGGCATCGATTCACTCTCGTTTTAGTTTATTTTGGCGAATATATTTCAACACCATCAGCCGCGCATAAAATACAGGGTCACGCGAGTTTGTATATGCAAAGTGCATTCAAAATTGCATTTGTTAGATGTATAATATAGATGTCCAGCGAAATTCTAAAAATTCTAAAACCAGTATCTTTGTACATAAATAAAGAAGAGAGTCCGTGTAAGTAAATACCTATTAATTTATTATAACCCGCCGTAAAACATTAACGCAATAACACGTTAATTAATAAGAAATATGAATTCGCGTGACGCTGATGGGGATGAGGAATGAGTTTTTTCATGTCGCGTGTAGAATATTTTAAAATTCAAAAGCGAACGTTGGTCTTGGATATCCGGCAAATTATATGCTGGTGACGTAGGAGAGGAGATACAGATTCATGCAGAGATAATTTGGATTGTACTTTCTCACCCTATATGCAAAACACAAAATTTCATTTATTCGTCGAAATATTGTTACAGTTGTAATCTAATAATCTACGAGTAATAATGGACTCGTTCATATTGTTTTGAAACCGCAGCTAACAATAAGTTGGAAACTACAAGTACATGTATTGTATACATAGATACAAAATATTCATTTTTCGAAATACATATTTTTTAAATGTGAAATTTTCAAATTTAAAAAAAAATGCAATACTCTTAAATTGGTTATTTGCGTAAATCGAAATTTATTAATTCGTTTGTTAAATGTGTTCGATCGTTATATGCCAATAAAATACGAAACGGACGAATGTGTCTCGAGAGTACAATCCTACGTTTCTATCAAAATCTCTTAAAGGAATTCTACTTTGCTAGAGAAGATGTATATAGGAACGGGACAAATCTGACAAATATATATTTCTTCGGGCACGCGAAAGAAAAGAACGGATGAGATCTGATCGATATCGACACGATATGAGTATTAAATTGAAATAAAGATACGTCGATGTTTTCGAATAAAATAACGCAAATACAAATTTGCAGACATAATTACAACTGAGAAAAATATGAAGACCGTGTTAAAACGCACAGATCTTATATACCTGACATTCCGCGCTAGTTAAATAACTTCCTTTTATTTTTAACAAGCTGTAGTCTGTACGACACATTATGATTTCTCGTGAACATGCAACATAACGACATTCGCGTTGTAAAGCGTATTTTGATAACCATCGATTACACCTAACTTGCGTATCACGAATTGTATTCGCAAAGTGAGAGAAGATAGCTTTGGGATGCACTGTCATATATTTTGCGTACGCGTGTTTGTGTCAGAAAGTGTGTCAGAACAGGGAGGGCATCATCGCACACGATAGAGAAGTTGCGAGAAACATCGACTACCAGAGTTAGTCAGGAACTTGAAAGACAGCTCGTACGAGAAGACAGATTCGAAGATGATAATGTAGAAACGAGGTAGAGTCAATACCTGTATGTATTAGGTCGATGAGGGTATGTAAAATACGTTTAATATACTTCGCGTTAATGCTTTACTACTAGAGACGACTATTTATCAATTTCACACAATACTGACAAGTGTCAATTGTACATCGTGTCAGTATGATACTCTTATAATAAAAAGGAAAAGCAATACACAGTAAAACATAATCGCAACATAATTGATAAA